ACTACAGATGGAAGAAAAAGAATAATTCCATTATACCATGCGTTTTACTTAGAACTTAGTTTCATATACAACTACTATCGAACGATAAAAATATAATTTTTAATACGGTTGAGGTGTTGGATTTGGTTGCCAACTAGACTGTGGTGCAGGTTCAGGCTGTTGTATAACAGGAGCTTGCTCTTCTGGTTCAGGGTCTTTAGGTATAATACCAACGAACTGACTACTCTTTTACCAATATTTTTGACTCCGTTCCAAATTCTCTTCCGACAGATTTTATTCCATTCCATATACCTCTTCCAACTCTTCTGAAGAAGTTTCCAATACTACTGAAGAAACCCATTTACTACGTGTAAAAATCTAATGTCCGCCTAGTCTCTTACGTTTCCTGTTGAGTTCCATAGCATTCTTTAACTGGAGCTCATACATTCTGTTTCTCCTCTGGTAGAAAACATATTCTGGGTCAACTCCTGTGTTCGCGTCATCTGCATAAAGTTGTTTATATCCCACTTCAGGGTTTGTATAAAATCTTTCCATCTCATATTTGCATACCATGGTGGCAAACCTAACGCAGCGTCATTTGACATGGCAGTTTGCATTTGTACATCTGTTGGCACTTGACCATAGTTTGCCATTGCAGTTTGTATTCTAACTTCATTTGGAATATTCTCTGGGTTTGGTTGTCCAGGTTGCTGTGCATTCGCTAAGTTCTGTGCGTCCATTTAATATTAGATAAAAATATCTCTTACGAGTACATATACTGAACATTTGCAGGCATTGGTTCATCTTCATATTCTCTGTACTTTTCTGCCAGTCAAATAAATAAATGACACAATGGAAAAAACCTAAAACTAACAATCCGATTTCAAACCACATTTACTTACTAATAAAATTTCTTTATTGTGACACTTTCTCCGGTTTATAGGACCTCTCTCATATTCTATCTTGTCATATATAAACTCATAGTCATGTATGTCCTCTAACCATCTCATAACGGTTTCCAAACCACTTTTATCGGATGTAAAGTAAAAGCATGGATGGTTATGTATAAGTCTAAAGTTTCTAAAGAGTCTCTCAAAGTCCAGTCTACTTGGTATTGAAAATCCCATGTGTTATAGAACGGCGGGTCCACTATAAAGAAAACATTTTCCTTGTCTTTATATTTTTCATACAACTCTGTCCATGACATCTCACAAACTCTATACCCTCAATATATTTTTTATGTCCTCTTTGAAAACATTTGTATAGTTAAGATATAAAACTTTTGACATAAGTGTTTCAATGTCATGAACTCTTATAGAACCACTATATAATAGTCTAAGATATACTATCCAGTCTATATATTCTGCTTTTTTCAAAACTCTCTCACAATATTTTTGTTATCTAATGGTATACGTTTCATCTTACCTATAGGTATCTTTTCTTTTAACTCTTTCAATATATTGTTTGTGTCTGGAATATGTTTGAGACGGTCCATATAGTTGTCGAAGTCATTGCATATAATCTTTGAGTCTGGGAATATTGTATGACATAAATGGGAATATATAGAAACTTCCACGAACAAATCTACAAATGTTAGACCATTCGGTAGTTTCTTAAGTTCTCTCAATATAATATCTTTACATCTACTCTTATTTCCAAAGAACGGTAGGTGGTTTTGTAAAATTCATTTATATAATAATAAAAATGTTTTTACCCGAAATTGACAAAACATGAAAACATATATATTTGTGAAAAGCGACACATTATATAATGTTTTCGACCCAGAAGAAGGCTTCTTCCCAGAAGCAATGGAGGAGGAAATACAAGACTCTATCCAAGAAGAGTCCTCCGAATTCACACCAGAAGACTAACAATTTTCCGAATAAAAACTTCATTTATACTAAACATCTTCGGGGCTAGAGGGCGCAACGCGCCTGGAAGCCCCACTTACCTGACCTAATATTATATAAAAAGTCTCTTTAATATCTATATTTCATATTTTTATCGATTTTTAAAGTTTTTGCGAAAAGTATTCAATTATTTTTGCTATTTGGTCGGGTAAATGTCAGATTTGCGACATTTTCTGATATGATATTCAGATTCTACGTTTATATAGTAATTTATGCTTTACATGTATTTTATATAAATTTTTATTGAATTCAAATATTCAATAGTTTTTTATGCTAGATTAGTTGTATTTATTTAAATATATTATATTGGCAACCTTTCTTTACCCTGTCCTAATAAACGCATTTTGTAAAAAAATATAGTGCATCAGTTTCGAACTAGCGTCCCGGGTACCCAATAGTAAGGGGTAATAACCATTCGACCATTTGCCACGTAAAGCATCGCCGGGTTTTTTTGTATTTAATCACTCCCAAAACACTGTTTTGGCTTATTGGAAGCATATCAGACATAATCGCCATAATCAAAAAATCTATATACCCAATAAGTAATAAATTTGTCGATATAGATTTTCCATAAAATTAGTTTTTAGTCTGATCTTAAAATAAATTTAATTTTTTATAAAAAAAAATCACATTTAAAGATACTTTTTAGTAGCTCGAAATCCTGTTTGGTGGATTTCGGGCGTACTTCAAAATTAGCTTTTCTTCTACATATGCAAGCTATATTTTAAATATGGGGCAAATCGGATCGGCGAAAGGAGTTTAGTTACCTTTATTTTGAATTGATTTTTCCAATTTGGGTGAATTTTGACTATAAGCACTAACCATATTATTAGGGTTATTGAATAGGTTATTGCACATAAGAAATATCTAATATTTAATTCAAATTAAATCAGCGATACTTGACAATTAAAAAAGGACTAAAATAGAACAACAAATTATTTTTAAGATGTAATAGATACTATATATTTTTGGTATATTCATAAATATACAACAGATTTCCAAATCAATGCCGTTTTTCTTCAAGATGATAAATTATGACATATAGGTTTAGACTTGTAATCAACATTTATTTGAGATTAGTATCATTTTATCTGAAAATTATCATATTTTTTATAAATGTTGATCATTTTTACACATCTTTATTGAATTTGATAAAAATATATGTATTTTTTATTTTAGATATATACAACAACTCATAAAAAACAAAATAAAGGCTTATTCGAGATATTTTGCAGAATTTCAAGATTTCAATGTGAAAGGCGCAGATGAAAATATTATTAATAAAAATACTCTAGAATAGAGTAATAATGTAATATCACATAGAAAATAGTGAATTTAATAATTCTAGAATAATTAAAATTTATTGAATTTAATTTTTGACTATTTTTGCTATTTATAAAAATATTATTGTTCATGGAATTTTGAAAATCATTGCAAATTAAAAAATTGAAAGGTATAATTCAATTTTTGTATTAACAAAAATTTGAATAATGACACAAAATGATAAAATTTTAGAAATTTAAATGAATTATTAATTTTTCATAAATGAAGATGTGGTTAAAGCTATCATATATCACAAAAAATATACCTATTGAGAAAAATTATCATTCAATCTCAGAAAATAAATTGAGAATTAAAAAATTAAGCAAAATAAAATGAATATTATAGATAATGTAGCAAATAGTCGTTTCCACAAAAATTATACAATTCAAAAAGACTAAACGTTCCTACAAATTATTTTTATTTCCAGACATCACATCTAATGTTATTTCCAGCGTTTTTCGAATTATTTTTTGTTTATAAATTGAATGCATATATAAAAATTGAAGGAAAATATTTTATTTATTGAATTAAAACCGGAAAACCGTCCTTAATGGCTTAAATGAGAATTAAGACAATATTCCTGCATGATACTATTACAGCAACATAGATATTCATTTACAAAAAAATTTTGTTCGTTCTGAATATTTTTTTCCACGAATGTTTTATGATTCCTCACAAAACGAGAAGATTTTAGCTCTCGTAACTCGAAAAATGTTTAAAACAAATCTGGGAGGAAGTCATATTCCTTGGGGTTTTTGATTGCATTTGTTGGATTTCAGCTCAAAAAGAATTTTTGAGTACTGGTTTTCAAATCCTTGATTATTTTTTGAGTGGTATTCAAATCTCTAAATCCAATCAATGGGGTTAGTCATATAGAATGTATCGTGGAAATAAAATTTCCCTTATGCATTTCAAAAGGTGAGAAAAATATTAAAATCATGAGAATTTTTTGTTTCTTTTTGCATAACTCAGGCTGCCGGCTCTTTTGTACTTCTGAGACCCTATAATGGGGCCTTCAAATGTAGTGTAAAGTATTCACAAAAAAATTCTCAGACAATCCAATTTTTGTGAACCTAACGAGAATGAAGTGATCAAAAATAACCGTTTCTTTCCCTTCAAAGAAAAAGATATAGAGCCATATGATGAAAATTGCTGAATATTGAGCATAGATCGAAGTATGCTCTTTGATACGCCACATTTTCCGCTTATTATTTAGATCATCATCGTTTTCTATGCATATATATATATTTTAAATTAAAATATATAAAAGCTCTAAAGCAATGTTTCCAAAGCAAATAATTCTAAAATTGGCTTGTAAATAAAATGACAATTATATTTAATGATGATATGCATATCATTTTGATAGATTATTCGAAAAAACTTTCAAAAATGATCATGACTAAAGAACTGAACTACAAATACAATTAACATAACAAATATTCCTCGATCGTAGACTTTAATTCAAGTTTTCCCATATTAATCAATAAGAAATATAACTTGTATATATATCATTTTTAACGAACCTCTATCCAAAAGTTTCACTTAAAAATATGTACTTTTAGCCGTACACTAATTGTTTCCCTCTTTTCAAGAGTATTTCAAATGGAATGAAATATATTCTCCAGAATTTTGATAGTAAATTGAGATATAACGCTTTACAGTTATACTAAAACAACAATATATTTATACTTTACAGACAAAATAAACATAAATAGCTTTTTTGTTCCAAACGACCAAAATAATATTAAAAACAAAGTAAAAAATTTCCTCTAAGTACCGGACTTAAACCTAATGGAAATTAAGCAATTGATTTAAGTCTGATGCATCTATCACTTGGTCTTGACAGTCTGTACCTTCATTTTTTTCTATTTTTTTGGCTTGACTTCTAATTTTCTCCTTCCTTTGGTCTACTATTAGTGGCTGGATCTTCTCCCAATTTTCTGCAAACCAGCACAATAAAGCTTGTCTATTCCTTCTTGCTAATCGATCAACTTCAATATTTATCTTTTTTTCCAAGTCTGCCGCAAGATCTAATAAGAACATTGTAGTCAAATGATGACCAAACATGTTTTCAAGATAAGCTGTGACTAAATCCATTTTAATTCCAACTTTTTTAATTCTTCTTTTTAAACGCTCGAAATCTCGAATAGACTTTGATGTTGTTCTGAAATGCTTGTTGACGTTCCTTGTTTCGATGATATCTCGTTCCAGTTTAGAATTGAACATCAGACTAACAAGAAAATACAGGGGATTTATGATGTCCTTTCAATTTTTTTGAATTTCATCGCCTCAAACTTTGAATTGCTACTCATTGAATTTAATCAAAGTAATATGAATTAATTTTATGCAGTAAAGCCAAGAATTGTTATCATGGCTCAAATAACTTGAGGCTTTATTTTTTGAATATAAATTTTTAAACAGGTTAATATTTATATCGTTTCTGTTATTCCTTTAAAAATATAAAGATAATCATACCATTCAAAAATTCGATAACTTTACTTTAAGGGTCCACTGTAAAAATTGAAAGTCTCTCAAAATTGAGAGGCGATTTGCAAATAATCGTTATCGTCATTTTTCGAAAATCCACTTTCCCTAGTGTTCTGATTAATATTTTGTAAATGTAACGATGAAGTATATGCTTTAATAAGATGATAATATATTCTATCACTTCAAATCGCATAAAAATTGCAAAATCAGTGAGTTTTATAAGAACAAGATTTTTTCGAATTTTTTCGCTTTTGGATGCATGTTTTGAAAAATAGATATTTTCGAATTTTAATTTTATCTTAAGTATAAGTTTTATATTAGGAATTTTTTGACCTATTTCCAATCATTAATTCCAATGTTTTTCAGGGAATTTAATTGAGAAGAAATTAGGAATTTCGCTTTAATGTCATTACAAACTAATATTATGATGCATAATATATATATTTATTGAGGCTAATGCCGGGATATCTTGCATTTAAAAAAAAATCAAAGAATTGACAATTGGATAGCACAAATTTAATTCCCTGGACAAAGTATTATTGTTTATATATTCAAACCATTATCCTTAGTTTAGATATGTTGGTCAAAAATTTTCGTGTTATTTTTTGTGTTTAAGCATAAATTATGTATTTACTTATGAAAAATAAGCATTTTATTGATTATCATAAAGATACACCATAACAAATTGAAAAAATTTAAAAAAAAGTGTATTTTAGTGGGTATTATTCTGGCCAATACCCATTTTTGCACGACTTAATATTAACCATATCAATAGACGACTCAATGTAAAAATTTAGATATTTTTTTTTCATTATTCAAACTTTGATAAATTTTAGTATAATGAATGATTTTGTTTCGTGTATGATACAGAAATGAAAAGCTTAATTAATATTGTTTTGCATTTTTTCAAGAATGTTAGAGTACATCTACATTAAAAAATCGGATTCGAATTGCGATACTGCATCAAATTGATGCACATCTGATAGGGATCTCAAAAGAGTAAAGTTAATTTTTTTGTGTTTTTTTAAGTTTTGGGCCTTAGTAAAACACCATCTTGAGCAATATTTTTGGGACGACGATAGACCTTATTTGGCCTTACAGTGGACCCTTAAAAGGGCAAAGAATATAATATTTTCATCAATTTTTGCATTACACTTACGTATGAGGTACATTTGTTGCCAATACTATCATGGCACAGCCTGGCAGAATCTATTTATTATTTGATTCTTTGTTTTCAAAGGAAGAATTATAAAAAACTCAAAACTAGATATTATATTTGATAAATTGTGCTATCCATTGTATGGACATATTTAAGATACATAAAACTTATTGTGGATTAACTTTGAAGTGTGATTAAAATCCTCAGAAATTGAATTGAGATCGAAATTTTTACTGACGATTTTTGTTTTGTAGATTTTCAATTGTAAAAATTCAATAGATGACGTATCAATTAAATTATATGACCAACTTCATTGTATGATAAGCATTATATTCCGCTTTATGCTGAGAACCGAACAATTAAATTTAAGCTTTGCAATTGCGGAAATCTGCAAAATTTCAGAAGTTTCCATAAACGATTGTAAAATAATACACCCATATCACAGAATAGTATAGTTCAGCAAATAATTGGCGGTTTAAAACTATAGACCCAAATCTTTTAATCTGTTTTGTGAGAAATAGTAGTTTAACCTTGTGCATTATGTAGCAAAATATATGTATGAAATTTCTTTCAAAATGCTTTCTAAAAGAATTGTTTATTTGTTTCGTAATTTTGAAGATTATTCACAAACACAAAAAACCTTTTTCAATGAAATATCAGAATATCTTTATTACCTACAATGAATGATTCATAAATCTGATGAAATTTTAAATTACTTTCAAAATGACAACACTAATCTTTCAATTCGAGAACAGTTTCATGAGTTAACATGGAATCTCTAATATTATTGAACTAACTATCATCAATGTACAATAATTTCTATTTTAAACATATAATTGACGTTGAGTTTAAGGGTCCACTGTAAAAATTGAAAGTCTCTCAAAATTGAGAGGCGATTTGCAAATAATCGTTATCGTCATTTTTCGAAAATCCACTTTCCCTAGTGTTCTGATTAATATTTTGTAAATGTAACGATGAAGTATATGCTTTAATAAGATGATAATATATTCTATCACTTCAAATCGCATAAAAATTGCAAAATCAGTGAGTTTTATAAGAACAAGATTTTTTCGAGGGGGGCACAAACTTGCCCAGTGAGGTGAAGTGAAAAGTGACAGGTTTACATGTCAGAAATGTAAAGTGTCAGATTTGAAACAAAAAATGGATTAATTTATTATTATATGATAGAGAGATTTGGTAAGTTACTATCAAATTTGTAAGTAAGGGAAAAAAAGTAAGAAAGAAAAAAAATTAAAAAAAAATAAAAAGCCACTCGCTTCGCTCGCGGGAGACAAAAAGAACAAATTCGAAAAAAGATTATATGAAATTACGAAACTAAGCCGCGAGCGAAGCGAGTGGCTTAAGAAAAGAACAGATTCGAAAAAAGATTGTATGAAATTACGAAACTAAGCCACTCGCTTCGCTCGCGGCTTAAGAAAAGAACAGATTCGAAGAAAGATTGTATGAAATTTTAATTCTTTATTTTTTAGGATTGTTAGCTTTGTAAGATTGCTTTCTCACAAGAGAAAACAAGTATAAGGTTTAAGCTGTATGTATTACAGTTATAAATATTTGATTTTAAAAAAAATCAAGATTTTAAACTTTAAAGGTATTAATTATGATTATCTTTCTTTAGCTTTGCATGCTGTATGCTACTTTTGGAAACTGCTCTATTGTATTAGAATGTTTTTAAATTTTGCACCTAAAAATGCGTAATATTAAAAATTAAGGTATTAATTATGATTATCTTTCTTTAGCTTTACATGCTGTATGCTACTTTTGTCTTTGAGACATTCCATGATTTAAGTTAAGAAGCTTTAAAAAAAATGCAAAAAAAATTGAATACTTTACTGGCTGGGCAAATTTGTCGCCGCCCCGATTTTTTCGAATTTTTTCGCTTTTGGATGCATGTTTTGAAAAATAGATATTTTCGAATTTTAATTTTATCTTAAGTATAAGTTTTATATTAGGAATTTTTTGACCTATTTCCAATCATTAATTCCAATGTTTTTCAGGGAATTTAATTGAGAAGAAATTAGGAATTTCGCTTTAATGTCATTACAAACTAATATTATGATGCATAATATATATATTTATTGAGGCTAATGCCGGGATATCTTGCATTTAAAAAAAAATCAAAGAATTGACAATTGGATAGCACAAATTTAATTCCCTGGACAAAGTATTATTGTTTATTATATTCAAACCATTATCCTTAGTTTAGATATGTTGGTCAAAAATTTTCGTGTTATTTTTTGTGTTTAAGCATAAATTATGTATTTACTTATGAAAAATAAGCATTTTATTGATTATCATAAAGATACACCATAACAAATTGAAAAAATTTAAAAAAAAGTGTATTTTAGTGGGTATTATTCTGGCCAATACCCATTTTTGCACGACTTAATATTAACCATATCAATAGACGACTCAATGTAAAAATTTAGATATTATTTTTTCATTATTCAAACTTTGATAAATTTTAGTATAATGAATGATTTTGTTTCGTGTATGATACAGAAATGAAAAGCTTAATTAATATTGTTTTGCATTTTTTCAAGAATGTTAGAGTACATCTACATTAAAAAATCGGATTCGAATTGCGATACTGTCAAAATTGATGCACATCTGATAGGGATCTCAAAAGAGTAAAGTTAATTTTTTTGTGTTTTTTTAAGTTTTGGGCCTTAGTAAAACACCATCTTGAGCAATATTTTTGGGACGACGATAGACCTTATTTGGCCTGACAGTGGACCCTTAAAACGATTATTCATAAAATTGAAGAAAAATGAATTATTAATTGATGAAATCAATAGTTAGATCAGAAATTATAGGAAAAACACGAAATTAATGCTTTTATTATTTCAGAAATAGTGTCAAAAAGTAAAGAAAATATTTATGGGCTGGACGGTTTTTGCTATTAATTTAAAGACATAAAAAGTTTTATGTATTGGAATCTTGATATGAACATATTTCTAAAATTATCAATTAATTACTGATTAAATTTGTTCGGTATGGGATGGGTTCAGAATTTATTGACTAGAATTCAATTTTGTGACACTTCAAATTTACGGATTGTGAAGATTTGTAAAGCATATCTCAATTTTTAAATAATAAATTTCTAGTCAGTAAAGTCATTGTAGCTAGATATAACATGTTCTGTTGCATGCTAAGATCAGTCATAATGTAAACCTCTCAATTTTATTGTCGTGGGAAGTATCTCAATTCCTTTCAAAAAAATTGAAAAACTTTTTAATTTTAAAAATATAATACTTTTAATTAGTTAATTAATTGGAGATATTTTTTAAAAAATCACTTTTGATAATACTTTTGAGAACTTTAATTAAAAAAATATATTCAAAAATATCCAGGATATCAAGAGGGAATTGTTCCTTATGAGGTATATAGTTATGATGTATACCTCATAAGGAACAATTCCCTCCTTAAAATGAGAAAACTTGTTCGAAATTGTTTATCATTTCGAACAAGTTTTCTCGTTTTTAATAGGAAACTAAAGGCTATGAGGCACTGATTATATATTAGTGCCTCATAGCCTTTAGTTCCCAGTAGATAGCTGAGGAACTTTCTCCAAATGATAAGTTATTCAGATAAAGTTTCCCAGCTATCAAGAGGGAATTGTTCCTTATGAGGTATATAGTTATGATGTATACCTCATAAGGAACAATTCCCTCCTTAAGGGTGCACCCGCATGTACGTTTATTTGAGAGGAGGAGGATTACCCTCTCAATTTTGAAAGCTTCGTTAACTTAATATCTCGATGAATATTGGATTAAAATTGAATTTGCCCATACCAATATATCTGATACAATATCCTTAAGTTTTACTAAAAATAATTTTTTAAAATCCCTGCAGATTCGGGGATTTTTAAGGGTGCCCTATAACGATAATGTAAACATCACAAAATTAACCTTATTAGAACTCGAATGAATGGATTATCCAGATTCTAGTTCTCAATATAATAGCCTTAAAAGTGCTTTTCTGAGGGTGGTCTATCGTCTATAGGGCACCCTTAAATTTTTTGATTTTTTTCGAAAATTTTTCGGAAAAAAAATATTTTCAGAAGAGCCTTAACGGCTAAGTTTTATGTTTAATGTTGAGTATCAAAAAGAATGGGCATCTGATATAGCCATCATATATCCCAGAAGCAAATAAAAATTCTGACTTTTTAAGCATAAAAAATGAAATTTTATTTTTTGCAAAAAACAGGCCACCCGGATGTACGTTTATTTGAGAGGAGGAGGATTAAATTTTTGAAAGCACTAAAATTTGTAAATATGCTAGTTATATAATAATATGCATTATTTTAAAAAATAAAAATTAAAGCACGTTAAAATCTTTTTTGATGAATTTTTACAAAAGCTACTCAGGATAATGCAAGATATGAGTAGTTAAACATAAATTTCAAATCAGATTTTACTTATAATAAATATTTTAAATTTCCGAAAATTAAGTTCAGATCGACTCTATACGTAGTAAATACTAAATAAGGTGCCAAAAACCTATTAAACAGTATCAAAACTATCAAGATTGTAATGTTTTTGAAGAAAAATTTATAGAATTATGGACTTCAAACAGATATTATGTAAATAAAAATAATATAATGAATTTATTTATTCGTATAATAGCAGTAATAAGTCGATTATTCACTTCTACTTCTGAGATTTGAATTTAATTTCGACAGAAAAAGAGATTCAAGAGGAAAATACTAGGGGATACAAACAGCCACCATGACAGGATTATTATGGAGCCAAGTTGTATTTTTTGATATTTTTAGAGTTTTCCTACCTATTTAGGTACCAAGTTATTGCTTAAAAATTAAGGTTCTAAATTCTGAAGTTTACATGATCCTCCCGGGCGAGCCCTTAAAATCGTAGACATTTTTATACTTATTAATCAACCATTCAAAATCATATTCCTCTGAAAAGTTATTTTATTAAAAATTTAGAATTTTAATAAATATAGAGTTTGAATTTCATACAATACCTATATATTTTCAATAATGGAATTTGAAAACCATTCTCAAAAGTTCTCAGAAAACCCTTTTTTCATTAATTTTAAGAAATCTGAGTATTAAATTAAGTGATAAATTCGTTTGACACTACTTTAATTTTTAAATTCAAAAAATTATATGTGCTTTTTAAAATGACTCAAAAAATTTTATTATAAAATAATATATAATATTAAAAATCCCACAACATTTTTTACTTTACATAATCGTACTTCCTCGACGATTAATTTACACTCAATTTCTATCGTTGACCGAACTTAGCATGCAACAGTTCACCTTTTTATATACGAATTCAACATTTCAAAAATTCAAATATTGAAATAGTCAATTTTAGAAGCTAATTCCCGAGTATTCTTGCTGTACTATAACCATTTGACAATATTCTAATTTTTCCATATAATTGTAATCGGTTCTTTTAAATTCTTAATTTATAAGTCTCATCACACTTTTCAATGCTCGATTTTTAAAAACTGTTAAAAAATAGAGATTATATTGAAATAGTGTAGAGACTAAAAATTACCACAGACTATTTCAGAGGATTGAGTGGCAACTCAATCCTCTGAAATAGTCTGTGGTAATTTGCAAAATTTTATAATTTCATGAAAGTACATCTATAGTACATTATAATTACTACAATCTTTTATTTTGGATTGTAAATCATTCAATACAAATTAGTAGTATTATACAAAATATATCAATATTTCAACAATAAATTTCTCGATTAACTTTAGAGGTTTTTATCAAAATTTTGATCACTCATTCAAAATTGAATGAGAAATTTGCACCACGCTTGACTGTCCATATTAGATATGAATTTTCTTAGAAAGTGTTGGTTTGATTGCTGAGATCAAGCTTATAAAATCTTGAAATCCTGACCTTTCCTAATATCTCCCATTATATAATAATTTTAATCTTGAAATTTCAAAAAAAATGCATTTTAATAATTTCACTCAATTCCATCTAATTAACAGTCATCATCTCCATATCAACGATTCCTACATTTACTTTCAATTTCATTTTATTTATTACTTTCTTATTAATTTCAAGTTTTTTTCTTATTATTTGATATCAAACAAATATATATGCATTTTAATCTCAATTTTCTTCCGAAATACTCCATAATATATTAATTTTCTCAGCATTTATTATAAAATAATTTTATCTATGTCAAATTTAACTTTTAACTATAAATTGCTTTTTCATACAATATGATCATTCAAAACCATTATAATTCACGCTTTTTCGCTATTTTTTGTCAATATTTTTCTTCAATTTTGCGAAAAACTTTGATTTACCGTAATGATTGCAGTACTTTAGTCAACAAACCAATATTATTATCAATAGATCCTTCGATTATACTTTCAGATTTCTGTTTTAGCTCTCAAAAATAAAATGAGAACCTTCAGAAAAATGAAGTTGAAAAAAATTGAAAAAGTAAGGAACAAAATATCTTTATTTTAGTGATAATTAAGCAATTGATTCAAATCAGATACATCGATATCATATGTTGGTGCATGCGCTACCTTTTTCATCATTTTTTCTTGATTGATTTGCTGCACAACGTCATATGGGTTCATTGGCAGTAAAGGAAGTACAGAGTCCCAGCTCTCTGTATACCAGCAGAGTAGGGCTTGTCTGTTCCTCTTTGCAAGTCTGTCGATTTTAATATTGATTATGGCAGCATATTTTGTTGCCTCGCTCAATAAATGGTTAGTGGTTTGGTGGAAACAATTAATTTTATCCAAGTAAGCCGAAACGTAGTCCAGTTTAATACCAAGGCGGTCGATCCTTTTCAGGAGCGTTTCGTGATCTTTGATCGACTGCTCCGTGGTCCTCGGATAGTTATTACGGGCTCTGGTACGAAGTATATCATTTATAAGTCTCATATCATTCATCTTTAATAAAATATATTTCTTAAAAAATTGATAATCATTCAATTCCACATAGGTCTATTGAAATTTACCTAAGAAATTTTGCGGTTATATAGTTAAATTGCATGATATATTCCTAAATATATGGTCATTTTCTTCCCACCATTGTTCCTAATGATAAACCCTCTGTATAAATAAATTCAATTAAAAATTGGAAGCCATAAAAATTTTCTGAATCTTTCATTATCTTTTATTATAAAGGATCCGGATTCATTATTTAGCGAAATTGATTCAGTAAATTATGTTTTTTGACACCAAAGAATGCATCCAATTTATTTCAATACTGTAAATGATATGGTAGTGTCGTAAATACAACTGAAGAGTTTATTTTTTCTTTGAAGAACAAACAGAATTTTTGCAATTGAATTCCATAGAATCTTTTTGAGACCTATCTTTGATTCCAAAAACGAGGCTCAATTTGATAATGTGGAGAATACTTAAACTATTATAATAGAGCTTATAAATATATAAGAGATGTTTAATTAATTCTAACTTTCGAAGAGAAAATAGCAATTTTTCAGAGTATGGGCTTTGAAAGATTTTCTGGTACATTATATTCCAGACAATATAGGAAGTTAATTATTTACTATCAGATTTCAAGTTATTCTCGATTATGATGATAAATTTTTAAAAAACTATGTATTTATAGGCAGATGCATTTTATAACTATTTCTTCTGTATTCTTGATTGATTTCCTGCTTACTAATTTATAATTTAGGTTTTCTGACGGAAAAATGTCGAAAATAATTTTTTCTTCATTTTCTAAGCTGATATAAAGCTACTTTAGAAATGTATGAATCAGCACCGTAATAAATGTCATATCTATGATAGTAATAATTTCAAAAATGATAAAATTATAAAAATAATGAATTCTTTGGACATTTGATATCATGTTTATAATTTCATTCTGACAATTAGAATAAAAATTATAACATTAAGCTTTCAAACACCTAAAAAAATTATATAATTTCATTAACTTTTTTTTTGGATTGCAGAAGGTATTTTCTGTATTAAATGGCTCTAAGTGAAATGATTCTGCTTACTGTTTCGTTATAATTATTATTGATTTTTTAATGAATCTAGTTTTTCTTGAAAAAATGATATAATTTATGATGTATAAAGCATTTCAATTGTAAAAATATTCGTGTTTTCCTTTTAATAAGAAAATTTCATAAAACGCAAAAAAATCATCTTGAAACCAATAAATTGTTGTATGTCATATCGTCTATACTGTGCTATTTAATAATACGCTGGATAAATTGTGAAAATACATATATTGATATACAAATGAATTTGAAAGTACCTATTAGCTTTTTCTTTTAACAATTAATTTCGTCGATAAGAATATAAAATAGTTTGTTGATTGTAATGTTGAACTATCCTTTAATTTAACTAATTTTGTTTTGTTAATAAACGAATTTTGAAATATCATTCAAAAAATATTCAATTGTAATTCAATTTGATAAATTGAATAGACATATATAAATTAACAATGTATTTTTTCTTTACATCAAGTCAATAATAAAATAATCTCATGAAAAAGATTTTTCCCTTCTAAAACAAAATTTCTAAAATTCGAAAGAGTATTAAATTATGAATCTATCAATATTAATTTATCAAAAATTGAATGTTAAAATCTTTTGATATTGAATAGGCATTCAATCATTGAAATAGCATCGTTAATACATATTGCACTTTTTATATACAATATTATATCTGTATTATATAACAATGAAAAATAATGACTTAATTAAAAAATTACGCCTTTAAGCCTTTCAAACATCAAAAAATGGTTAATAGATGTTATTATGATTTAACCAACATTTTTATGTTGTAAAAATGCAGATTTGAGAATTAAACTGGGTTATTATGAATAAATTTGAAAAATCTCTATGTTCATTATAGTAATTAAAGATTTTCTGATTTGACATGTATAAAATTTTCATTAGTAACATATATATAAATATTTTTATTCAACAATACCATTAATTAAGTAGAAATTGTAAATCAATTTCATTACAGAAACATTATTATATGATTTGTTTAGATAAAATAGTATGAACATAAATAGTATATTAATTATTTGCGTCTATCATAAATAAATCATATCCAATTGAGAAGATTTTAATTTGTTTTTAGTGGTTGATGCATATTCCAACAATTCAATACTTTTATTGGATTTTACCATTACAAACAATGCTTTGAAATCATATATTTTCAAAATTTCATTTAATAAATGCTTATTTATTGATAATTACTCATTAAAACATATATTTATATTAGTTCAACTTATACATGTTTTTCTTAAAGCAATGTATTTATTCTGCTGTAGTTCTATATTAAGAAAAAGCTCATCAATTTAGATAAAAATATAATATACAAAGATATTTATTATAAGTTCATCCAATAGTTCATTGCATCAATGATTTGAGAATCACGATGAACATAAGTATAACCGATACCGCCAGGATAAGCTCTAGCGTTTGGATCATAAGCCTTTACATATGGTCTATCCTTACAACCATTGCAGTCCTTTGTGCACAAACTGCAAGAAGATTTTCCATCAGGAATTCCTTTAGCTCCATTATTCATGAAGTAATAGGAAGAAAGGATGCATCTAATTGGGAAGTCATCCTTGTTATTGTAAACACCATTTGGATACTTAAAGAGTCTTATTTCATAGTTTCTGTGGCTATTTGCATCACATCCTCTTGCAAGAACGCATCCATCATTATACATGTTTCTACTTGATGATCCATCATTTTGTTGGTCATGATCATCGTTCTGGATGACTTTTCTTCTGTTGTCTAATGCACCTCTATCAGAGTCTGGATGATTTGGATAATCGCACCACCAAATCTTGATCTTGAGAATTTCATCCTCTGTCAAACCGTTTTCTTTCAATTTTTTTGTCAAACCTTTTGTGAAAGAATAATCACTGTCCAATTCGACCAAGAGAGGAGCTTCTCCACCTGTTAAGACTTCTAACCATGTAATGAAGTCATCAGGTAATTTACCACCTAAGCTTTCCTTAACTTTTCTGAAAATGGCAGCTAAATCGTCCGGATGAATATGTTTGGCCGCATCAATTCTATAACCGCTGAAACCAATTGAAATCATGTCAACCATGAAGTCAGCGATTCTTTGTCTGACGTATTCCTTGGATGTATCTAAATCAGATAATCCAACGAGCCATCCTGATGAAAGGATGTTTGGATCAGCCCATGAATCGCATGGTTTGTCGCAGTGGAAGTCTTCTGGTCCATAAGGAACACCTGGGAATTCTAATACGTTTGTTCCTTTTCCTGTATTTGGATTAACTTCATATGTATATGCTGGTGTATAGAATGGAGATCCATTTTCAAATGCAGATGATGTCTTGTTGCCCCATGTAACGCAATTTGCATTTGGATTTCTGTGGTTGGACAAATCATTACCATTTCCTGTCATATGGTTAATAACTGCATCACCATAGACTCTTAAACCATATGATCTGCATTTGTTGATCATGTTTCGGAGCTGATTTCTTGTTCCCATTCTTCCTTCAAGTCTGTATGAAACTGGTTGGTACATGAAATACCATGGGTTCAATTCCCACTCGTATGGTTGAGAACTCATTAATTGTTCATGGTGCGGGAAGATTTTGACACCTAAATATCCAGCTTCTGCAATTGTTTTACATTCTTCGGCAATGTCGTCATCTGGCCAGCCAAATAATTCAACGATAACACCCTTTTGGCCATTTCTGTATCTCTGGTCATTGTTTCTTTGCTTTAATTAAGCTGCATTCCAAGCGAAATCAATGTCATCAAGAATTAATGTTTCGCCTGTTGCTGCAATGACTTTGACCTTAAGGATTTTATTGTAGCTTGAATCGTAAACTTTGGAATTTGTATTTTGTGGAATTCCATCAAAATAATAAGTCAAATCGAGTTTTCTCGATGTCTTTGTAATAATATTAAATGTGCATGACTTCATTCCAGCACTATACTTGAGCTGTGAATAACCTGCGAGTGTTGACATATCTTGGAATCCTGGTTTCCATCTGTCTTCGCCTCTCTTAGGTGTGTTCCATCTGTTATCGAAATACTGTGAGTCCATGGCTGATTGTTGTCTGTTTTTGCATGAAAAAGATTGATAAATTTGGCAATTTGGTAAAGCATCATATTGGTTCGAAATTGTTGTTGTAGCCGCCTTTGTTGAAGAAAATGCAGCAAGCATTCCAATTACAACACCAATTAATATTGAAACTGTTGAGATTAATGACAAAGTAATGCATTTCTTGTTAAAACAAGACTTTTTAGGTTCATCTTCAATGAGAGATGCATCACCTGCCTCGGTGTCTCTCAATAGAGCTTCATCATTTCCATACATCTTATAATAAAATGATTTTTGTGATGTCCTCTCAAATTTGGCTAAAAAGTTCTCTACCGGGTTCTCAAAATTCCTCATTGTTTTTTTCTATAAAATATTCAATTCAGGACTCAGTTTTGAGGAAAATAAAGGTTAATATGCAATAACTTTTTGAATGCTCAAGCAATAAAACAAATGACTTCAAAAGTTAATTGATTGAGAGGAAAATTAGCCATTTTTATGATGAAATGTCAGAAGTCCGCTACAGTATTGGAATAGGCAGTACATCATAGGGAATGGATTTTGATTGTAATTCCATGTAAAATATTGAATAATTATATAATTTTGAAATATATGTACAGTAATTATGGGAGAAAATATATTATCCATGCCTATAGATTCAAGATGATTGCCGAATAATTTTTTATGATATAATTATTATATTTCATGAATTCTTTGGAAGAATTTGATTGGATTAAAATGAAGCAATGTAAGAATAAAGTACACTATTTTTTCAATTTTTTTATTTTCTATATAATCTCGAAATGTTTCTTACGACTTTTTTACTCACTTAAAACAAAGTCAACGAGAACATTTTGATTTTTATGAATCTTCAATAATTTTGAAATCAAAAATATAATAAAATTTCGAAAAAACTAATAATTCGAAGATCAACAAGAACTAAAATTTTTGAATGATTGCATTCTGATCTTAATCATATTCAAAGCTATTTCTATAATTTGAATTAAATAAAATTTTAAAATAATTTTTTAAAAAAGACCGTTTGGCTGCATAATAACAACAATGATATCTGTTAGAAGAACACATCAGTCAAAGTATTATCTTCTTTTTCTTGAGGTTCATCAGAAGATGAGATAATTTCGTCCGGGTTTTGTTGAATATTTAAGGAAGTCATTGTTGGTTCATTTTCTACATTTCCAGGATCAGTTTCTTCAGACATTTGAGATATTTCATGGGAACTTTCTGAAACATCATTCTTAGAACGTTTGTACAAATAAAAAGCGAGAAGAGCAACCAACAAAATAAAGATTAAACAGCCAATTACTACACCAACTATTACTCCTGTTTTAGAAATAGACTTTGGATTTGAATCAATTGCATTTCCAGGATCAGGTGTAGCCGAAGGAGTTAATTCAGGAGTTGTATTTGCTGTCGTTTGAGGAGTACTTGCTGCAGTGGCGAAATTAGTAATAAATGGAGTTCCAAATGGTGTTTCGAAAACAGTTACAAAAGCAGTGCTAAATGGAGTAGTAAATGGTGTCACATGAGCAGTAGAATGTGCTGTGCTGAATGGTGTATCATGAGGCGTGGTATGAGCAGTACTAAATGGTGTAGAATGTGCTGTTGAAAATGGAGTAGAATGTGCAGTACTAAATGGAGTTGAATGAGGAGTAGAATGTGCTGTTGAATGAGGAGTTGAATGAGGAGTAGAATGTGCTGTTGAATGAGGAGTAGAATGAGGAGTAATTGCATTTGTAGGAATTACACTGTAACCTGAAAATTCGAATGGAAATAAATCTTTTTCTAATGTTTTTGCTGATGGATAAACATATGATTCTGTTGTTTGCTTTGGTAATCTTGTAATTGGTGTTGCAACATATGTATATTCTGTTGGAGATTCAACATCAGAAGTTTGTGGATCTTGAGTTAATGTATTACTTATTCTTGCATATGCATAATCATCTGTACTTGTTCTTTTAATTGCCTTTCCTGTGTTTTCACAAACAGGTTTAGATCCATTTGATTGCATTATTACCTAATTTAGATTTTGTTCATTACTTTTAACGAAATAAATGTAATGATTAGGAACTGACTGTGAATACTCTGGTTCTTTGAAATCATCATTCATCGAAGTCCATCCAATATAAGAATTCAGGTATATTTCATGTCCTCTTCCTTGGTATTCGTTTGTATCTTCTTCTGTATTTGTAAAATCATAAACTTCTGATGTATCTTTGTCCAAAACAAAGCTATTGAAGAAACAGCAACTTTGTGTATAAAAAGATGCATATGCTGTTGGTGCTGATTCATCTTTAGGCATTGGTGGGCCTCCGAAATACAATGCTCCACCTCCGAACTTAATCGACTTTTGATAACGTTTTCTGACATCTTCGGAAACGTCTTTATCATCCAGGAAATTGTTTGTAATGTAGTTATTAATGAATTTTGTATCGAAAATGTCTAATCTATTTGTCAAGCAGCACTCCATGCCTCCGTCAAATGATGCGGCATGGTTTTGCTTAAATTCGCAATGATCTAGTATTGCTTCTCTGCAGGCTAAGGCTGATAAGCCTCCACCGCATGAGTATGCCCTATTTCCATTAAATGTGCACTCTTGGAGTACTAATTTGACGTTGAGAGCATTCTGGGCAAGAGAATCTCCTTCGTAGCAAAGGGCACCACCATATTTATAGGCAATGTTCTGATCAAAGACTGATTTCATTAAGTATACTTGGGATTGGATACAACAGATGGCTCCGCCTGTTGTTGCACGATTTGAAGTGAACGTATTAACTTCATTACTTGTTGTAAGGGAAGATTTAAACACGTAAATGGCTCCACTTGATGCAGGATCCACTCCCGATCCTAAAGCCCAACAAATTTTTATTATTAAATTTTTTATTAAAATATTGCTGAAATAGAACTGAAACTTTGTTTGCTGTGTATCGATATTGTCATTTTCTGATAATTCTCTGGAAACATATTGATAATTATTAATTTCGTTTTCATGTGAATTGGATTTTGCTAAACTCTGAAATGAAGGAGCGTTAGGAATTTCTTCTTGGTTTGTGGAAGAAATTGCCAAACTAAATAGAATTGGAAGAAAAATCATCTTCAGGAAGAGGAAAAAATTCTGAGGAAAATTTGAATGGAAAAATAATTCAGATAAAAAAAGTTTATGTTGATTACGTAAACAATTTTGTGCTACTTAGTAATCAAGCGTACATTGTGCAATTGAAAATCTGCTTTTGGTAATAAATAATTTGAGAACTCTCGTATAAAACGATATTAAGCAAAAATATGAAGAGTATCTGTTGTTTAATAAGATTGAACAAATGAAATTTGAATGATTGATCAAGATTCTCAGCGTTTTATTTTTTTATGTCATGAGCTGATTTTAATGAAAATGGCATCCCAATTTTTTAAATCTCCTATTGCTATCATCTCTTTAGAAATCTGACGTTAAGTTTTTCGACTCGGTTTTTTCACTGAATCAATAAATGATCAAAATTCCTGCATAACTTTGTATAAAAATATAATGGTATATAAATGTGAATCGAAAAACTTGTTTGTGAGCTCTTTTCGAAATCAAATTATAATAAATTTCAAAGGAATGATGTATGTTTCATCTAATGGTAAAGCTGACATGCAAACAATATTAAAATGCATTCTCAAAATCTATATTAATTTCAAGAATAAACGATTTCGGGATTATTCAACTTTTCATTATCATTGAGTATTTTCATTTAAACTCTTTGTATAACAGTAATTTTAACAAAATATGATGAAAATCATAAAAATGTATTTTCAATATTTTGTATCTGTGAATTCAAATGAACAAAATCAATTGGTCTTTGATCTTGAATAAAATAATCCAAGAAGAATTTGATTTTTTGATAAAAATTTAATTATGATTATTTTTATTTCAAAACTTGATATTGAAATACTTTTTGTATTTCCAATATTGTAAAAAACATATTATTATACCGAAATATAAGATATTGCATTTTTAATTAAAATCCCAACTACAAACAAAAATAAAAAACCATATATTAAAATTAGAAATCAACATTATTCATAAATTGATCATCTTCGTCCATTTCAGTGTCCTTTGTTATTAAATCTGGGTCTTCTATATCCAAAGAAACTCTTGTTTGGTCGCTTGCAACATTTCCAATATCAGTTTCATCAGATAACTCAGAACCTTCTGTTTCATCAGTACCTTTCTTAGCGTTTCTGTAATAATACAAACCTAAAGCTGCACAAATGAAAGCAAGAAGTAAACCGCCAGATATAAGGCCAATCAATTTGGCGGCTCTTTCTTTGTCTCTCTTTGCTACATCTTCAACAATCATTTCTATCCAGATAATAGTCTCCGTCTCAATATAAGTGAATGTATAAATGTTGTTACCGAGTGAAATTTGTGTAGTTGTAATTGTTTTAACTACTTTTTGTGTTTGTGTAATTGTTTCATCGGTGTCTGGCGTCCTGCTTCGTGAGGGTGTTTGTGCCAAAGTTTGAAGAGGTGAAGGACCTGGTGTTGCCGCCAATGTAGGGGAAGGTGTCAAAAAAGCTGTACTAAATGGTGTTGAATGAGGTGTAACATGTCCTGTTGAATGTGGTGTGGAATGAGGTGTAACATGTCCTGTTGAATGTGGTGTGGAATGAGGTGTAACATGTCCTGTTGAGTGTGGTGTGGAATGAGGTGTTGAATGGCCTGTACTATGCGGTGTTGAATGAACTGTACTAAATGGAGTAACATGTCCTGTAGAATGTGGTGTGGAATGAGGTGTTGAATGGCCTGTACTATGCGGTGTTGAATGAACTGTACTAAATGGAGTTTTGTGTGCTGTTGAATGTGGTGTAATATGTCCTGTTGAATGTGGTGTAACATGTCCTGTTGAATGTGGTGTACTAAATGGAGTAACATATCCTGTACTATGTGGTGTTGAAAATGATAGAGCAATTATAATGAAAGGAAATATATTTTTAATTTTGAAAGAGTCAAAAAATTCCACTTTATAAATTTTTTTAAAAAAAATCGTTATTCAAAATATTAATTAGCAATGTGAAATTTTTGATTTATGACGATAAAAAATGACAGAATTAACCAATGGCTAGGGAATTCTGTCGAGAATATTTCACATCAATTCATACCATGTTAGAAAGTTCCAAAATGATAACAATAATCAGCAATTTAATTTCGGCGTGTTTCCTGTTCCATACGCGCAGAAGATTGTTTTCTTCCTCAAAGAATCATGCTTATAAACTTTATACCTTATTTTTGTTGTTATTTTAATAAAAAAATCAATTTCTAAATATAAAAAAACGTATTTGTAAACTATTCAATTTTTGGATGCCCTCAATTTGACCAACATTAATTAAAAGTTAGTTATCTTTTTAAATATAAAACTTTGGGTGAGCCAAGATCGACAAATCTGCCTCTCTAGGAGCTCCATAGCTCCCAATCCTCTGTTTCCACTTCCAGATGCGGCGATCTAAAAATACTACATAGTTGCATATGTTAGAATTCTTTTGAATATCGGGGGCCTCGGGCCCTGGGAAGCTTCTCTTGGAAGGAATCACATTTCAGTTTACTGTCAAAAAAAAAAAGACAGTTTACAAAAATTTAAACATCGCACTTTTTTTTGGTGTCTTATTCAATAAACCACACTCTCAATCAGTTAAAATTATTTGCTAATGGAGTCACAAATTTTGATTCCAAGCATATGTGGAATTGCTCTTCAACTGTGATTTTGTGAAGACATTATAAGACATGTTTTCACCGGGGAACCGACCAAACAAACTATTTCAATTTTTCTATTAATTTTTGAGATAAGAAAATTGAGATGTGTTTTATGGTCAGTTTTGGAGAAACTGCCTTTAACTAGGGAATGGAGGTCAATAAACACTCAATTTATTCGAAAAGGCAAACAAAGGCTCGAAATTTCGCAAAAGCGAATGTAAATCCAAATCTCACCAAAACTGACGCCTATAAGATATACATTCTAGAATATCGACACATTTTCGTTGAAATCAAAGCAATCATATATAGAGTAAGCGAAAAGTTCCATCTTTCGCCCGATCCAGAGATTTATCGAACTCTTGATGTTGCTGTTGATTTCATGGATAAGAATTGGGATATATTCAAAGACTTCAAGGGTCTAGCTAAGAAGCAAGGCAACTATTTGAAGTTTATAGGCGTTCTTCACGAAGACACTGACAATCCTAAAGGTTTTTTAATTCGAAAATCAGGAACAATCTTAGGATTGCGTGATGGGAAGAGAAGAAAGAAGAGAGACCTTTCCATTCATGATGCTACGGGTCCTGATCCAAGCGATATCGAATTAATTGATTCTGAATTTGATTCATTCGAATTGGATCAACTCGAAATTTTTTAAGGTATTTCACTGTGGTTGTTGTTAACTTCGGATATCACTTTTTGTATCATTTCACTAATCATTATTAATTTAATCCCCTCAAAAAAAAAATTCGAAATTAAATTTAATCAAAAAAATATTATTACGATCAATTCAAAATTCACACTTAATAAAGCAGTCTAGGCTGTCCTTGTCAACAACATTAATTCACAAAAGATTAATTTAATATCGAAAAAAAAATTGATTCAAATTGGGAAAATTGTCAAAAGAATAATTATAAATTGAGAAAGAATTAACATTATCAATGCCATAAGGTGATGAATAAGAATAATACAAGATCCAAGTTTCAATTTCATAATTTTCAAAAATCAAATTTTTTCATTTCAGAAAAAAGTATTCAAAGGAGACATTTCACAGCAAGTATTATTCAAGATGAAGCAACATTCATTACAGTTTCTTAATTAATCTTCTCAATTTTTTAAAGATCATTTAGGGATCAAAGGTATAATGACACATCCTGAGTACCTCACTATTTATGCGAGCAAAGACATTTGGTAACTCAGAGATTGCTGTCAAAATGATCAAAAAAAAAGGTATGGATAATATTTGATTGAACTTTATTGAGTTCATCATAAATATTTGCAAAATAAATGAAGCATCAGAAGCTTTTTATTTGCAAAGTAAAAAGGAGCAACAATGAAGATTGATGATCTTTTGCTCCTGATATATCCTTTGCTTAGATCATTTTAGTTAATATTCCATATTGGGTTGATGAATGAAGATCAAAAGAGGAAAATTTATTTTACATAACAAGTTTTTCATAGTAATAAGCTTCAAAAAAAAACTTTGAAAAGATCATTGTTATTAATGCACTTCAATTGAGTTCTCATTTTACTTTATTGTTCTTAAATATGAGGCAAAAAGAAAGAAAGAAAGAGGTAAATTTCTTTGTATATTTTAGTTACATATAGAACTTGTCATTAGTTCTGCGACGTAGAATAATGAAAGAAGTCGATTCCCTTTCGAAACCACTTTGTTTTCGCCTCACATAACTCTCTTCATGAGTTGTGATGAACAAACAAAGACAATGAGATAGAATCTCTTTCAATAACATTTTGTTTTCGTCTCACATCAGACTCTTCATGAGCTGTGACGAACGAACAAAAGAAGAGAGATGAAAAATAGCATGAAATTTTAATTTTCCTCTTTTGATCTTCAACGGTAAGAAAAGATGTTTCTTTATTCTTGCTGAATCAATACCATAATGGAAATTAACGCTGTACCTTAATGTTCCCGGGTGATCGCATTATTCTTTTATTTTCCCAATTTATTCAAGAAAAAAAAATGGAATTCAAATTGGTTTTTTAAATATGTGAATACACATATTTGCCCTATAATTGGAAATAAAATGCTCCAGATGTAATTATAATACCCATAAATAATCCATTGGGCGTGGATTATATATTAGTATTATAATTACATCTGGAGCATTTTATTTCCAATCTGCTTTGAAAGCGGTATATATATGGGCAACTCGTGCCAATTTGAAATGCTTTTTTTTATGAAACTCTTTAATCCTATTTAATAATGACCAATTAAAGACTGATACAGAAGTGATGAAGGAGTTAATTGCAGCCACCGTTGAAATATCGCCCTCTTAATTAATTGATTAAATTCATTTTTATTTTACACATCAAAAAAACAATATTTTTTTTCTTCAGTTTAATTTTTACTAGAAATCAAATATAATTTACTTTCCTTTCCCAATAGTTTATTACAATTCATCAGAATGCCAAACGCTTCAAATAATTTACAAAAAAATTATATTTGAAGAATATAATCATTTATCTTAGTACAATAATATATTGTATGTGATTATATTGATGATTTAGTAAACAAAATATGGAATCCTAGCTAATATCAAATTATTTTTCATGATTTCATTCAACGAATGGTAATTTTGTAGTGTAGTAATCATTGAAAAACTGTAAAGAGATGCTAACATCTGTGTAATATTCTATTCTTATCTTTTTTGAAGATATTATTCTTAATCAAAATTATTTGCGTTGTTTAAATATAAAAATGTGGATAACTTATATATTTGAGATGGAACTAATGCATTTTACAAAAATGAACTCAAAAATATTTTAAATATTCTATTTCTATTGAATTCGAAACAAAAAGGAAATGACAACATTTTGCCTATTTTGTTAATAATCCTGCTAAGGATAACATAGATTCAAAATTGTATTATTTTTGAGATATTTTTCCCGTTCTGACAAAATTATTTGCTTGATCCTTTCGAATTTCTATGAAGTTTCCTCATAGTATCCAATTGCTTTAAAAAAAAACTTTTGACAATGTATTTTCGAAAAGATTTCAAGAGTTGTAAGTAGAAATTCATAATGTATTGAATGTATGACTAAATTAATAAGGAGATATATTACAATTATCGTTTCAAGAAAAGATTGTCAATTTTCAGATTGAAAGAGTATTGAAAAGTTTCGGTTTATTCATATTTTGATCGAAGTTGAAAATTAGATTGACAACACTATAGTGAAGAAATTGTCTGATGTAAATTGGACTTTAATTTTTTGAAAGAGTATTATTTTGAGGGAAAAATTGTTAATTATGCTGTTATCCAAAATTATTAAAATCGCATATTGTATGTAATAAAGATTTTGAGCAAAATTTGTAACCTTAATAAAAGTTAAATAATAGAATTGAAGCCTTTTCAAAAGTCATTATTTCGTGTTAGTTTTTTATTGAATGTAGAATTAATATGACATCAAAATTCTATTAAAATGATGCTTCAATTTGAATTTTCATGTGTTTTTAATATGCACCATAAGATAGTATTCTTTGTTCACTATCAACATTTTTTGTAAATTATATAATTTCAATATTCATTCAAATTTCAATCAAAATATAAAAATTAAAATAGAATAAAATATCATTAACAATATGTTTGCATCTCAATTGTCTTTAAAATTTGTCACTTTCACAAAATGCTAAATGTTTTATTCCTTTTGTTTATACAGGTCAAGAAGTTATATAGTGATATAAAAGAAACATCATTAGAGTGTTCAAATTCAAATCCATGCGTTTTTACTATAGGAGCTGACTCGAAAAACAATGTAACTTTCTTGAATTTGTTTAATCTAGAAAGTGCCGATGAAGTAAGATATTCATATACAAAATATACTTCGTTGTCAGACATTTCAACATGGAATATTGCATCAGATGAAGAAAAAAATAAAGTTTGGAAATCCATGTCATCTCTTTCGGTTTACGTAAAACCTGCTTCCACAAAAGATATTAATGTAAGAGGAGGGAAAATTAGGAACTCAATATGCCCTAGTGGTACGATCATCTCGACAAAAGAATCATTCAATATCCAAGATTACTCATCAAATCCGATTGGGCAGCCACCATCTCAGTTTTGTCTTATATTTTTACATCAAAAAGCTTCAGTTGTTGTTAAAAACACACTTAATAGAAATGATCAACTTACTTACAGAGTTGGCTATAATGATTACAGAAGAATTGGTTGGCAAAGATCAAAAACTATTAATTCAGATCGAATTCCTATATATCTCATATTCAAATTATCTAATAATAATGAAATTAGAAAATTTACTATCAATCTGAATAACGTTCAGCCACAGGGTCATGAAGAGGCTGAATATAACAGTAAAGACATCCCTACTCTCGATTCAATTGATGAAAGTGAAGAAGAAGGAAATGAAAATGGAGAAACTGAAGAAAGCAGCTCGGATATTATTGATGAACCACCTGATGAAATAGAAGAATCATCCTCCTCAATATCCTCTTCTTCTGAACTTGTCAGTCAAATTTCAATTACACCTTTACAAACTCCGGAAGAAACATGGGAAGGAGATTGGGATGACCCACCAAATGTTATTGTTAGAGGTAATGATGTTCCAGAGATTCATGAAACCCATCCACCAATTCAAACTGATTACATTAAAACTCCTGTTCCAAAAGTCACTACATATATCAATGTGACGATGGGAACCTCCATAATAGTAGTTGTTGTAATTCTCACTATTGTTAATATAATCAGAACTGTTAGAAAAATGAGAGGAAATGAGTGTGGTAGAATTTACGAAAAAGTGACACTTAGCCTTAAATTTCCAAACACTATTTTTTGATTGTATTTTGTTATTTATATATTTATATATATATGTATATATTTCTATATGTATATATTTATATATGTATATATTTATATATGTATATATTTATATATGTATATATTTATATATGTATATATTTATATATGTATATATTTATATATGTATATATTTATATATGTATATATTTATATATGTATATATTTATATATGTATATATTTATATATGTATATATTTATATATGTATATATTTATATATGTATATATTTATATATGTATATATTTATATATGTATATATTTATATATGTATATATTTATTAGAAACTGCTTCATGCTGTGTTGAGTATTATTGAATAATTTGAAGTAGTGGTTTTTGAAATCAGCACCCCTATGAGAGCGCTGGCGACCGAAACACCACTAGTAAGATTGTGTATTAGAAACTGCTTCATGCTGTGTTGAGTAAGCTTCGATATCTTTATCAGACCACCTTTAAATTAACCACTCACATTCTCACTGTGGTCCATCTAAAATTTGTAAGCTTTATGACATAAAATTATATTATATGCAGGATCCCACCTATTACTTAATCTTTTTGGAATAAATGTTTTATAATATTTATCGATTGATTGTAATTTTTTGTATAAAAAAAGTTTTTTATTTATATTAAAAATATATTCGGTTAATGATATTATCTTATAATTTGTAAATAAATCTAGTAATAAAATAACTTTAATAGTTGGTGTCACTTTTTCGAAAATTCTGGTTTTTTCATGGGAACCTCCATAATAGTAGTTGTTGTAATTCTCACTATTGTTAATATAATCAGAACTGTTAGAAAAATGAGAGGAAATCAGATTTCTGGCATGAGCGATATTTCTGATTATGAATCAATAGAATCTATATCATATTCAGAATATACGGATGAATTTCTTATAGATTGAATATATATTGTTTGTTATTTTTGTTTGTAAAAAAATTCTTATGAAAAAAGCTAAATTTGAGATCTCAATCATTAGTTCCACATTACACTTATTCTAATGTTAGTTTATATTCTGAAATTTATGTTATAATTACTCAGAAATTTTGCGTTTAAGTATTGCTTATTAGCAATTTCTCAAAAATGACAGCAAATGTTATGCATCTTCTATGAGAAAATAAATATATTCAAAAGAGCAATTGAATATTTAGATTACATACCCTATATTTCCAACTCTTGGAAAATTTTCATGACCCCCTACCCAGGGTCCTAAAATGGGTATTTTCCTCACACAGACACCGTGGTTTTTTGAGCCGGGAAATAAATAGCGCAGACAGTTTCTACATATAGAGACATGCTTATACTTAGAGTTTGACGGGAATCTAAAGTGATTTTTTTCTGCATCGCGAAATCTAATGCAATCTCAAAATCATGAAGAAACTGCGAATCGGAGCGCAATTTTTTAATATGTTAATATATAAAGGTACCCCTACTACTGCAAATGCTTCAAATGAAAATCTAAGAAATCAGATTAATTTGATCACATTAGTATAGTATTGGTCAAACCAAAAACTCATATGTTGATATATAGCCTATGGATATTCATATTATCTACTTTTCATTGAATTACATAAGATTTAATAATCTCATAAATATTCTTTTTAATTTTCCGAATTCCGTGTGCATTTAGATTGCCCATACCTGTATATAATAATTCTAGAATGGTTTGGTTAGATATTAAGTTTTTTAGATTAATATTTTAACATTTTGATAAAACAAGCATTTGTTCCATTTTAGAATCGCCATTGAACTCTGGTTTGACTAACATGATGTTGTATGATCAAATAAATTCTAACTTCATGAGATAAATTTTGAAATTAGAAAATGCGATATCTGACTCAAATATTTATAAACACATTTAACATTCAATGATAAACTAAAGTACTATACAGCAGATTCGATTTGGCTTATATTTTATATAATCAACTAATAATCCTATAAAATTGTGCTATTCACGTTGCTCAAAGATGTATTGAACATTCACTACTTGTGTATTGATAAAATTAGATATAGATTCTAATGTAAATCGATATTTTGAAAATTCATATATATTTTGTCTTGGTTTGGCATTTGATCGTGTTGAAACCGGAATTGCAATATATATCATCTAAATATATAACTATCAAAATATGAGCTATAGATTTTTAAATTATTATCCTGAATATGAGTGACTAACATAATTATATTGAATTGAGTAGTAAGAATCTTAAATATTAGAATCTGACGATAATTTATTATAACTGTATAAAGGAACAAGACTATAAATGATGATGAAAATAAAGATTAAATTTAAATCTGAAAATTTGAAAACATTAAGTGTATTGTGCACTCTTGTCGGTCACAGTATCTCATTCCGGGAGACATTGTCACTGCATGTCTCCCAGAATGATATCAAGTTCCCCATTCATAACTTGAATGCGGAACTTTGACCGATAAGAGTGTATTGTGCACTCTTGTCGGTTGAAAGTTCTGCAATCAGAAGAAGATTGTTGAACAATCCGCCATTCCAGGAGGCATGAGCTTGTTATCTCTCCTGAAATGGCACATATTTGATAATTCATGGAGCAGAACTTTGCACGCATTCAGACAAAAGATTGCGACAGAGTAACTGGGAAGACAGCAACTTGAAGCGATAAGCTGCTTGGGTGCTGTCTCCCAGATGCATCTGTCGGGCAAAGTCTCAAAGGAGCAGAACTTTGCACGCAATCAGACAAAAGATTGCGACAGAGTAACTGGGAAGACAGCAACTTGAAGCGAAGTTTTGTTTTCGAGTCTTTGGTTAAGAAATCTTAACAAAAAACAAAGAAAAAAATCAGATAAAGTTGTCAATAACTTCATCAGTTAATGCTCACCTATGGGAGGTGTTTTGCGGGAGCTGGGGGTATCTTGGTGAGTACTCAGGAGGCCAAGAAGGGCACCCCAACCGACATTATCCTGATGAATTCAGTTGTCAACCATTCTGAAAACCGCTGAAACCGTCGTGTGTAGAGAAATTGTTTAAATTTATTTTTTTTTTCAGATTTAAATAAAAATAAGAAATGTTTACTATTATGGATTTTGAAATTTTTTTAAATTAAGAGTAGGAGATGAGACAAATTTAAATTTTTAAGAAATATTTGGAAGGGCGTAAGATACGCCAACTTAAAAATATTATCAAATGAGAGAAAATCACTCAACAAAAAAACAATTCTTTCAAAAAGTTTGACATTGATCTTTCTAATACATATTTTTGGAAGGGCGTAAGATACGCTAACTTAAAAATATTATCAAATGAGAGAAAATCACTCAACAAAAAAACAATTCTTTCAAAAAGTTTGACATTGATCTTTCTAATACATATCCTATTGAAGGAGTTTACATTCTCAAAATAAAAACCAGTTCAAAATCTTATTATTCCTTGAATAAAAATCTTTTTTTTCAAATCCATTCCAAATCCTTAAATCTGTATTAAAATCATTTTGCCAACAACCAACACAATACAAATTACATTTCCATATATCTTCTTGTCCATTTTAATTTTTTATCTCATTTTATTTAATTTTATTTAAAGCATATAGACATCGAGATCCTTTACACATAGTTATATAAAAGCCAAATACATAATAAATTCTTAATTCTAGAGATATCTCAAAATCTCATTTTTTTAATTTAAAATACCTTTCATTTTTCACAGTACGATCACAACAAACAAGCCATTTACTAATTAACACATATAAGAAAAATATCAAATTACAAAACAACTTTCAATATCATTCTCATCAAATTCTATTTTTTCATAATTATCAACTACATGTTATTATATAATATATGTCGGCGCATATTCCACTCTATACAAGTGTCAGACACACTCACACAAAGCTGTGAGATTCATACCTCTATCAGTAGGACTTCTCAAATCAAGAACACATATGTTTCACTATCGCACATCTGTGTAGGATCTAATTAACCCTTTGGACTGGTAATTCAAAATTTGATAATTTGATAATTTCATGTGATATCATCATTTGCCTTTAAAACAACTGTGCGTTAAACTAGATACGTTTCTCTATTATAATGCAAAATATCAAAGTTTGGGAGATTCCCAAAGTGTCTGAAACTGATCATAAGGGTGAAAAACCGTTTTCCAGAAGTTGGGAACGTAGGGTATAATATTTATTAAAGAGTATTAATTGGTCATATTTAAACTAGCATTATTTCGTATATGAGATTTAATGCATATTTATTGAAAATAAAACGAATAAATATCAAAAGTACTTAAGATGGTGTTGAATCTAGGAGTTTCATAAAGAATCCAATATACACCTCTTACAAACTTTTTATAAGCAAGTATGCTTCTATAAATGGATCATTATTATTGGTCTTTTATAAGTTTGATATACAAATTAATACTCTTGGTTCCAAATGATTTGAAAATCTGGATATTCTAAAGAACACCTAGCCTTAGAAATTATGCTTTATTTGATTTGTAAATTTCATCTGTAAAAGCACAAAAAAGCTCGATAATCTTTCAAAATTTAGGTAAAAAGCAAAAATAAATTGATTTTTACGTTAATAATTAAATTACCTAATTCTAAAATCTATTAATGTATCATATTAATAATAATTTTCCGAAGAAATTTAAATGAATTGGTCAGATTTAGATGAATTTTTATAGGAATGAGAATATCGAATTAGTAGTTGTTTTGAATCATCATAATTTAGAGGATTTGATTATAGATCATAACTTTTTCTTGATTTTAATAATTAATGAAATAAGATGGTGTTTTTGACATAAACGATATGGGAATGTCACAATATAACTTTAATAGATGATCTGCATTAAAGAGAAATAGGAAAATGGCATATAACTAATAACCAAAATTGGTTACAGTCGTTACTTTTCAAAAATTGAAATAATCATGTCAAATTTCCTCTGAAAAATGCATAAAAGAAGGTTAATATTAATTAGAAAAATATAATGAATCAAATAATGATTGATA